GTAGTTTCAAAATGTTTTTTTAAATTATATTTCTTATTTTTTTAATATCTTATAACATATAAAACATTGCATATCATTAAAAGCATTTTGTATCATAAAATACTTTTCAAATGACATCATTGACATATCGCAATAATTTTCAGTTTATGTGTTCACTAACAGCATTCTCGGTTACGATTAAATGTTAATATTACACAGAACTTCTGCCTGTGTAGCTTGTCTCTCCCACTCATATTTCTGCTTTCCTATTGGTTGATTGGCGATCAAACAAAAGAGCGTTAGAATACGTGTGAGTTGAAATTGCTGAAATCAGCCACTACTGGGCATCTATGGATTAGAAGAAACCTACATTGAAGAGCGCATTCAAGTTATTAGCGAGTTTTGTCATGTAATTGAAAGACTGAACAGATTGGAGCATGTTTTTGAAAGAAAATCCAATTTAGCTCATTTTAAAAATGAGAAAAATATCAAAAAAATGAAAACATTTATAATATAATTTTATAATTTTAACAGGAATAGTTTATTGTACCATGTTGAATATGTTTAATGTTATTATGGCTGACGACAAGTCAAATTAGGATAACACGGACATTTGTTCTCTCTTAATATTCTTTGTTACCGTAAACTCAATCACTTAAATCAGACGTTTTTGCAAGTCTGAAGACCAGTAAGTGGGCAGCCAGGTATATATAACCCAGTTTAGTGAATATAGAAGTTATCTACCTTTTGGTGCAGTAAGTCTAGAACCCATCAAGTGTGTTTGACATAGTCATCGCCAGCTGTAATGAATCCACTCCCAAGAGATAAAAAGAAATGTTTAAATTCACATTTTCTTATACTATGTTTTGGGAAGTTTTGGGATTTGAAAATTCCGATGGTCTGTGGAGATTTCCGCAACTAACACATACCGATTGTAGTTTGCAGTAAGTTTTGGTATGATCGTCATTATGGCAGTCTGTACAGTGCTGTTGGTCTTTCCTTTTTTGAGGTTCTTCTATAACTCCTCAATTACAAACAAACCCGAGGTTATAAATTGAATCATCGCAAATAGTTAGTTTTCCTTTAAACGTAGGTTGTGGACGTTTTTCTTTTTTAAAAATGTTGATGATGGAATTTGTTCCGAATCCCTCCGAATCCATATACTGCGGCTCAGTATAGATTTCCTCTCTTATTAGAGACCACATGAACATTTGATTTACCCATATAGTGGCGGAGGTTTTTGGGATTCTACCGGTTGTTCTATTTCCTCCCATCATATTCATTATTTGTTAACTTTTGGGTTATAGCATTTGTTCCTTGGTTGGAGTCCTAGATCTGTATTTGCGCTTCTTTACAAACACATATCGGTCCATACCTGAAAGAACACTGGGTGTTGAAATTTTAAATTTCTGTTGTTTCATTCTCAACTGACATTTTTTGTTTTGCTTTGGGAAAATTAGCAGACGGTTGGAATAGCAGACTGCACAGCAAATAGGTGGACGGAATTGCGGAATAGTATTAGATTGTGGTGTCAGTTGAGGATTTATAACAGTATGGAAATTTCCAGGTGATTTAAGGTGGTCAAGATGCCGAATAATAGTGGCTAAACACTGATTATATGCGATAAACGAATTTTTGTATTCATCCTCAATGACATCAAATTATCCGTCTGTGTAGTCTCAGATCTCATGAGGTAAGATTTAAACGCGCAACCAATTTGCGACTATAAAGGACGGTTGCACTGGACAAATATTTGATCCAAACTTGTTTTCCCATATTTGACTGAACACATGTAAAATTCATACAGAGTTGAATTGTCAACAACATGTCAGTCAAATATTTGACAGATTTTGTTGACAGAGAGGGGCAGAGTGAAAGAGAGAAATAAAGAAAATGCAGTTTCGAGTATAATTTATGTTGGAGAAGGAAACGAAACACCAGCTAATGAGGAATAAGTGCCTTCACAGAATGATTTTGTATGTTTGTATATACGCGTATATGTATGCATGCTCATATAAATCATGGTACAATAACATCAAGGTAGGGCAGTGCGATGTTGTGTTTGTATGCGTATTCTTTTCAATTATATTAAAATTGTTTGCCAAATATTCAAATTTAGTTGTAAAAAGATGTATATTACAAAGCATGTATGAACAACTTTTATCCATTTGTGACAAAATTATTAATGATATATGTATATAAAACAAGTTAAAAGCAGTAAGTTCGACCCTCCACCGTTAAAAACTTAAAAATACCGAATATAGCCGTTATATTGGGGTCTCTACGACCTGAACCTACATAGGCTTTGTTTGTAATAAGCCATCGCCATATTCAAATTCCAAACTCGAAATAAACGGTGAAGAATGTATCTAAAATTATCAAAATACCGTATATAGGGAGGTACCGTTATATCGGAGCTATACGAAGACCTGGACCTTCATAGACAATTTTTTTTTCACAGGCTGCAGCTCCATTACGAAATTCAAATACGACATCTCAAACAATTTCGGTGAGTATTGTACCTAAAATCGTCAAAATACCAATCATAGGGAGGTACTGATATATGGAGCCTATACGAAGACCTGGACTTGCATACACAATTTTTTGTCACAGACTGTATTTCCCATTACGAACTCTAAATACGTAATTTGAAACTAAATTACGTAAATACGTAATTTTAAACTACGTTGAATAATGACGCTAAAATCATCAAAATACCGAATATTGGGAGGTACCGTTATATGAGGGCTATATGAAGACGTGGACCTGCACAGACAATTTTCTGACATAGGCTGTAGCATCCATTTTGAACTTCAAATTCCAAATTTGAAACAATTCCGGAGAATAATGTCGCTAAAATCATCAAAATACCAAATATCATGAGGTACCGTTATGTGGGGGCTATATGAAAATGTGGACCTACATGGCCAATTTACGAACTTAACCTGCCTACTGGCAAAATAAACACGTGTGCAAAATGTTAGCCTTATATCTCAATTCGTTCGAAAGATAGCGCGATAACAATAGACAGACGGACATCGCTAAATCGACTTAGAATTTTACGCTCATTAGTAATATATATACTTTGTTGGGTCTGACATGAGTATTTCGAGAAGTTACAAACGGAATGACAAAGTTAATATACCCTCCATAGTATGGTGGAGGGTATAAAAACACAACGTCGGCAAAGAAAAGCTTCAACAACGACAAGAACAATAACTCCCAATTATATGATGGTGAGAGCTAAGAGTGATTCGCGTGTGTGGTGATGGTGAAATTAAATAGTAAAGTAATGAAACACAGGGAATTATTTGTCATAAATTCGAAGTAAATCCATCCTCTATTGGTGTATTTATCTTATCTATTAAACAACAAAATTACCTTTTGTAATTTGAGGTGGCGTTTGAGGCCTGGTTCGTATAACCACGATACGGTTGGGTTAGTGCGCAACAAGAAGAACCCAGCTGATTTATGCCAGTTAAAACCCTTTTATGTACTTGCACATATAAGCACATCAAAGGTTTTTTTTTTGATTGGCACAATAAGCAAAAAACTACAGAAAAACATTCATTTAATATTTTTTTCATGTTTAAAATGAGACAAATACCGCGAAAGGTGAATGAAATGCCCGGATGTTCTCTCAAAAGTATGATCCTTAATGTTCAATATTTCAATTCCGTGGCTAATCTGGTTAATATCATTAATGCGTGCCCCGCAATTTCAGTTTCTTCCAATCATTGATTTTGAAACTATTTAGTTTTCATTTTTCAAAACAATAAATACATACACAAAATTGGCAGAAGTCGGGACACTTAGAAAAAAATTGTAATCATCTGGTAGCTCTACTTACCTTTTCATTGTACTATGTTCAAAACCAAAAAAAGGGTATAGTATTATCGGGTAGAGTATCAAAATATGACAATTCGTTTACGTTTAGAAAACAAAATTCCCCAAACCAAAATTCCCAAATCGAAATCGCAATTATTTGTTTAATTTTATTTAATATGTGGTATTTGCAAATATTTAAGAAATTCTTTTTCTTTTTGGCGAGCTAGTTGCACAAATTATTGCTAGGTATCTTTAAAAAAAAAAAAAAAAAACAAAAACAAAGTAATCTTCAGGTGCAAGTACATAAAGGACTTTTTGAATAGTATAAGTCATCTGCTGGCTTCTTCGTAAAAGAACAAAGTTAAATTTCGGACATAAATTATACTTTATACCTACTTCCTTTATTTAATTATATAATACGGGCGTATCATGGTAGAAGCATATAGGTAGGTGCATCAGCAGTTGTGAACATTAATATGTCAACAATATTAAAGAATTACTTCAAAAATAAATATATTAAGTTAAATACTATTTCATTCGCAATTACTTTTTCATTGGAATTCCAAAATTTTTGATGTGGCTACCTGTATTATTTTCCCATGGTACAAAACATTTTACCATAGGAAGTGAAATATTTTTGTACACTACGTCGAATTTTAAGTATCACTGTAATAGGAAATGCTGGATAAAATAAATATAGTAGTTGGCAACCCTTAAAAGAAATTATAGTTTCAGGAAAGGTTTGGAAAAGGAATGGTTCGGAATTTCTATCTAACTCGTCGTACGTTTATTGGCCAACTCGGTTCAACCAATAATAGAATGACATGTTGAGAGTACATGTTGTTGTTGGAATTTAAGTGAGAGTTTTTATTTTTGTTGTTGGGATTTAATTGAGAGTACATGTACTGAGAGTTTGTAAGGCATTTTTATTTTTAAATAATTATCAATTTTCCTCACAGAATTGCTAAATGTTGTAATTCAAAATGCTGCTTTGGACTCTAATAAATATTTTACAATGCTAATATTGTAAATTTATGGTTTCATAAAGAAGATAATGTCCAGAAAACCTCTTCGAACCTGCGAGAATTTTTAGGAGGTTTTTTTTTTCTTGTTGGGACTTAAGAGAGATTTTTGATTTTTGTTGTTGGGATTTAAGTAAGAAGCTCAATGTTGATTTTTTTGTACATATTTTGTGTCTTTCTCACTTCAACCCCAACTTTCAGAGTCAAAACACGATAATCGTATTCTCTACGAAGACAAATTCGTTTGCACACAATTTAATTTTTATAATTATAACTTAAATTTAAAACGTTGGAAAAGATGGCCAAAAAAGGTCTATTGCCGGTATTAATTGTCATTCTAATAAAATGCGCGATTTGTACGGTGTTCTTAGAAGAAAAATTTGTTGATGGTAATACAAACAGGAAAGTCTAAAATTATTTTAGATTATTATTAACGTAAAATTATTTTAGACGCGTGGAAAAATTCATGGGTATATAGTAAACATCCAGGCAAAGAATTTGGGAAATTTGTGCTAAGCGCGGGGAGTTTTTACAACGATCAAGATGTTGACAGAGGTAATTTTTCGTTTTTATTTATTATTATATTCACTAAACCGTATTATTTACAGGTATACAGACCTCACAGGATGCCAAATTTTACGCAATTTCACGAAAGTTTTCTCCGTTTTCTAATGAAAACAAACCATTAGTAGTTCAATTTTCGGTCAAGCACGAACAAAATATTGATTGTGGTGGAGGATACGTAAAACTTTTCGACTGTTCTCTCGATCAAACCGACATGCATGGAGAATCACCTTATGAAATTATGTTTGGCCCTGACATATGCGGCCCCGGAACTAAGAAAGTTCATGTGATATTTAGTTATAAAGGAAAAAATCATTTGATTAACAAGGATATACGCTGTAAGGACGATATATACACTCACTTTTACACACTGATTGTGAAACCCGACAACACGTATGAAGTATTAATCGACAATGAGAGTGTTCAATCTGGAAACTTGGAAGATGACTGGGATTTTCTGCCACCCAAAAAAATTAAGGATCCCAGCGCAAAGAAACCTGAAGACTGGGACGATAAGGTGAGTAAAAATAATTAATGTAGTGTTCGGACCAGTCAAACCACCCTCATTTCAACTAGAGCATATAAATAGAAACTTAGTGAACAGTTATTCATATTAAGGCGCAGTTCCCATATATGTTTAGTTTAAGGGCGTGTACTTATTAGGGCAAAATCAGGGTTTTTACCATATATTTGACATTTATATTCGCTTTATTACTATAAAACTTAAAAATGTTAAAGAATATTTTGTCCGTGTTCCCGAAATGTTCACCTGTCCATAGAAGAAAGTCCTAAATCCCGGCCGAAGGGCGTTCATTTCATTTATTTCATACAATTCAATATAAATAAGCCAACATGGCCAAAATCTTATTAACATACAACAGTATAAAAACAGCCTATAACTATGTTAATCTAAAAAAAAAAACTAAATAAATAACAAAAATAATCAACGAATAGTAATATATAAAGGAATACTATTAGTTTTAAGTAACAGTTCGGCCGCGTAGCCGGAATTTATACCTTTCCATGGGGGAAAGTCTTAAATCCCCGTGCTTCCTTAAGCTTTCATTTAACCCATATCGGTTCCAAAAAACCCGGTTACGTTTCGATTTTTTACCGAACTTTGGGTTCAAAAAATCGGATAACCGCTGCGGAGATGCGGAAAATTTTGTGAATTTATCTTTACTTATATAATGTCTTGGAGGATCATATATTGCAGATATAACTGTATTCGTTTAAAATAGTTCAACTATTTTAGCTTGTATTTGAAACCGAAAATCTTTTATTTATGTCCGCTGTAACAACCCGCTTCTAGCCGTAAATTAAATGCACTCTATTTCTATCAAAATAAGTTCATCAATTTATTTACATTTCACTCTTTGTTAAACTCCAAAAAAATTAAATTAAATTCATACAGCTGATTGTCAAGACTACACTACACCGCCAAGGAAGCATCAACGCCGATGCCAAGTGTTGGCGGACTTTGCCGGTCGCCACATCCCTCCAATGTTTTTCAGATGAAGCTTCAAGGTCTAGGAGCCGGAACTTCCATTGCTTTCCTGTGTTGCTGATGTGTTGGTAGATTGATGCGGCAAAACATTTAAGTTTGAAGAAGATGGCTCGTTTTCGGAAACGGATAGAACTTTCTTCAAGTAGCTTACATTTCTTCGAATGACTTTCCCATTGTTCATTATTTCAACTATGTTTCCATTTCTAGCTGTTACTTTATACTCAGTTGTATCGAAATTAGTTGTCAACTTATGTGGGAAAAACTACGTTCTTCAAAACGACTCTATCACCCACATCTATATTAGACTACTTCGCCCCTCTTCTTTTGTCAGACCGCATTTTTCCTTTATACTTAAAAAAGGTTTCTTGATCCTTTGCAGCAGACTCCACTGGGATATCTTTTAAATCATCGATACTCGGTGTTTTATCCCTTATTATCCGATTAAACATGAGCTTAGTTGGGGCCTCACCAGTTATGCTATGTGGTGTCACGTTATACATATGGAAAATTTTTTGAAGTTCTTCCAACAGGTTGAGTCTATTCATATGAGCCATTTTCAATCGTTTAACAATAGATTTGTTCATATTTTCCACCTCACCATTAGCTTGAGGCCAGTAAGCTAGGGTTAATATCTGTTGAATAACATTTTCCTTGCAATATTGATCGAATTCCGAACTTATATACTGCCGTCCATTATCAGTTCTTATACTTTTTGGATAACCGAGTCTACAAAACATTTTCTTCATCGAATAAATTATAGTTCGAATAAGCTTAAATTCCATATAACGTGAAAAATAATCTATAAAGACCAAAACATATTGTCCATTTGGCAAAGGACCCAATAAGTCACTTGCTAATGTAAGCCACCCCTTCGAATGTATGCCACGCCTTCTGAAAACGGATGTCTATCCATTGGAGTTGGGGGAGTTGGTTGTGATACCAAAAGGCAATCCTTGCAAGATTTTACATACTTCTCAGCTTCTCTATCGATGGGAGGCCACCACACTTTTAATCTTAACCAACGTTTCATCACCGACTCACCTGGGTGTCCTTCATGAGATAGTTTTATGACCTTACTTCGCAAAGCGATTGGAATAACAATTTTTCTGCCTCTTAATAAAATGTTGCCAAAATATGATAATTCATATCGAAAAGGAATGAAACAGTTTGTTGGGGCATTAGACCATGTATTTTTATTAAGGCACATTACTGCGTTCACACTGTCTTCATCCATACAGATTTTATCAGAAATTCCCGTAATTGATAACGCAGAAGGAGTGCTCATCGATACCACATGTAGAATATTCTGGTCACCTTTCCAGTCAAATGAACTAGGATTATTCAGGCGGCATAATCTTGATTATGATTCCGCTATATTTTCCTTCCCAGCTTTGTAAACAACCTTAAATTTAAATGCTTGAGGACGAAGTAACCATCGTTCAATTCGTGCTGGAGGCTTTGACGTCGGCTTATAAATAGCTTCCAATGGCTTGTGGTCAGTAACCAATTCAAATTCAAGGCCAGCCAAAGAGCCAGACTCGCTTTTTCAGTTTGAGAGTAGCGCATTTCGACATCCGAAAGAGACTTACTGGCAAATGAAATTATTTGAGGATTATTTCATCAAATTGTAGAAGTACAGCACCCAAGGACTCGCATCAGCGATTAACCGTGTACGTTTGTTTGGATCAAAATAAGAAAGCTTTGGTATTTTGGACAACAATTTTTTCAAATAATCAATTTTCATTAATTTTCATATCCGAAGTCCAGTTAAATTTCATATCAGTTTTCAAAAGTCTTCTCAATGGGTCTGTATGATTTGCCAGATCGGGTATAAACTTACCCACTTACCCACGACGCCTTCACTAGAAAGAATATGCCCGAGAAATGTTAGTTTGTTTGTTTTCCAAATATATTTGTCGTTATTTAACAGCACGTTGTTTTCGCGAAAAATGTTCAGAACTTCTTTGACCACTATGTCACGTTGCTTCTCAGATTGTGCAAAAATTATAACATCATCAATGTAATTCATGGCGTTGGTTCATAGTGACAGAATTTCCTCCAAAAGTCTCTGGAAAATTTCAGGTGCTGAGTTTACTCCAAATAAAGGCCATTTATATCTAAATAATCCATGAGGTGAAATGAATGTTGTGATTTCTCTGCTATATTCATGGAGTTCAATTTGATGATAGGCATTCTTTAAGTCTAATCGAGTAAAATACTTTGCTTCTTTGAGTTTCGTCATGAAAGTTTCAAACGTTGGAAGGGGATAATTTTGCCTTAAAATACTCTATTCGCCCTCCGCATATCAATACACATCCGGATATCGTCGTTTTCCTTAAAAGCCAAAACAATAGGAGGTATCCAACGACTTGGACCAGCTACAGGTTCAATGATATCAGCCTTAACACCATCTTCCAAATTCAAAATAACCTTTTCCTCTAAAACAACTGGTATACGGCGAACTGGTTGTTGTACAGGAGTAACGTTCGTATCAATAGCTAACTTTACAACAACATTTTTCCATTTTGGGAACGGTGTTAGCTCTTCATTCAGTTCAGTTTTATAGCCTTTCCTTTCCCAATAATGACTGTCTTCCACTTTCAATTACATGAAATGTAGCAATCTTTTCAGGTATGTGGCCAATATAAATGGGGGCTTCAAAGACACAGAGTACCCTTAGCAATTTATCAGATGCATATGCACGAAAATTATTATAAGACTTACCCAATCTTCAGTGCTTAGTAAATTGAATTTAGATACAGAATCAATGTTCATAGGAAAAGGTAAATTAAAACAATTTACAACTAGCAAGTCAACTCAACATTTTAATAAACTTATTTATCGCTTTCTACATCAAGTTTTTCCGTTCTCATTTTTAATTTCATATGTACGCCATCCGGCCCTGGTTTTACTTAGATGTTACTCATTGCAACCCGCCTCTAGCATTTGCTAGCTAAATTTTTATATGGCAAACTACATCTAGCATTTTCAAGCTAGTTTATAATACGGTCAACTGTCTCTAGCCTTTGCTAGATTACTATTTTACATCGCAAAATGCTCTTGCCTGGTCATAAATAACAAGATACTTAAAATGTCCTTTCTGGCCAAACTGCCGCTTGCTTCGCAAGATAATAACATAAGACTGATAAACAGTCCCTGTCTCAGCATCTAATTAAGCACAATTTAAATGCAATTAATATTTCAAGTTAAAAAAAATAACTTCACATTTCAACCATCAAATTTGCATATATTTTAACAATAACCAAACATTTTTCTTTTCACACTTTAATGTTTATTTCATAATTACCGATCTTATCCTCGTCGCCAATGAAACAACCTTCTTCTATTCGTAAATAAAATGCAAAATAAGTTCATCAATTTGTTTACATTTCACTCTTTGTTAAACTCCAAAAAAATTAAATTAAAATCATACAGCTGAATGTCAAGACTACACTACACCGCCAAGGAAGCATCAACACGTGTTTTTTTGGGGTGTCTCACCTCTCTCCAACGATGGGATGATAATGATGTCAAGATGAGTCATTCCCACAACCTGAGGGAATACTATCCTGACTGAGTCTTAATGTTCTTTTTTTTCAGAAGAGCCGATAACTGTCCATTCTGCTGATAAATGCGTTCGGAGATAACGTCTCTGGACGTTAGAATCGTGTCGTCCCCTCCATAATTTCGTGTTATTTGACTGGTTCGACGTCGTTGCATCGGCAGAAGTAGCATGGTCGTTGGGATTTTTGTGTTGTTTACAACAATTTTTGAGTTCTCCAAAAAATATTCGGATACAGTCGGTACCCTGACTGCAAACCGAGAAACGCTTTCTGTAGACAAACATCGCTCACTGTTTATTTAGAGGAGCTAGTTATTCGACTCATCGAGGATCATGGCATATTTTATTCTATTCATATTCATAACTCATATATATCAAAAAAGATAAGAACTGTAAAAAGTACTAAAAACAGAAATTAAGCAAAATAATTATATCATGACGGGAACTA